TGGCCTGAGCCCCGAGTACAGGGAGGAGAAAGGAGCCGGCCTGGGTTCCCATACACACTCAGCCCGGGTACGTTCTGGTGGACTTGGCGGAGCTGTCAGGGGGACAAGGGGTTGGCCTGTGCACATTTTGGCTCTTGGAGCCTGGCAGCACGTGAGACCTGGGGCTGGAGCTCAGGTTGCCGTGTTGGCTCTCCCCTCCCTGGCAGCCACCGCAGCAGTGGGGTTCCCATAACTAGGAACTTGACTCAGACTCTCCTATTCCATTGGCCCAAGCAATTCTGAGGGATTTGGGAAGGAAAAACTGGGGCACTGTCCATGCAAAAAAAAAAAAAAAAACTAAACTAAAAAAGGCCAATCAGAGGAACCTGGCAGCCGGGTACACAGGGCTGAAGAGAAATAGCACCTTGGAGAATTCAGGAAAGGGAGCTGCGGAGGCACAAGGAAACGGAAAAGAACCAGAATCAAAGCCAGGGCTTGCAGGGGCCGGACGGGGTAGTGAGGCTCGGATTGGGGAGGTAGATGAATCACAGTGTGCCGTTTATTAATAATCGACTGCAGCGGAAGCTTGTGTTCCTGCCCCTCCCCCCACTCCTGGCCGGGGGCAGGTGCTCTCCATGCTGGCTCTTGGTGGTCTGCTTGCTGTCTGCTGACCGACCTCTGCCCAGCTATCAGTGGGTCCTTTTGAGAACACGAATCTGATGGTCCCCCTGCGGAAACCCCCTCATGTCTTTCCCTGGATGAAGCCCAAATGCTTCAGCAGGCAGGCAGGGCCCACTGTGACCAGGGCTTAGCTCTCACACGGACCTTCTCGGCACTTCCCTAAGACTGTCTCCCATCCCCCTGCCCGCCCCCGCTCCCCTGCACCGCCATTCTGCTCTTTTATACCTTAAAGCTGAGTGTGTTGACCTCTCCTGTCCTTTATATGTTAGCTTGGGCCATTCCACCTGCCTGGAATGTCCTTCCCATCACCCACCCACCCACCCCCACGCTGGAAAATTCCTAAACTTCCTTCAGGTCTCACCTCCAGTGAGCTGTATTTGTGCCTCCATATCTGGATCAGGGCCCTCGCCCAGGGTTCCTGGCTGACTTCCGCCAGGGAGCATCGATGCTTTGTTTTCCAACCCTGGGCTTCCAGAGGACAAGGGCTGTGCGGTTCCTCACTCGGTTGCCTGCTCAGGCTGCCCACAAATGTTTGCTGAATGACTGACTGACTGATGGGGCAGAAGCTACACCTCAGAACTAATGATTCCCCCATGTCATGGGAGGGACAGACATCTGGTGTGGTGGTTAAGATGCAGCCTGGGACCCCACATTCTACCTCAGAACACCTGACGGGAGTCCTAGCTCCATTCTCAATTCCAGCGTCCTGCTAATGTATCCTGGGAGGCAGTAGGTGATGACTCAAGTAGTTGGTCCCTGGCACTCATGTGGGAAACCTGAGTTAAGTCCCTGGCTCCTGCCTTCAGCCTGGCCCAGCCCTAGCTCTTGCAAGCATTTGGGCAGTGGATGGGCAATCTCTCTCTCTCTCTCTTTTTTTTTTTTTTTTGACAGGCAGAGTGGACAGTGAGAGAGAGAGACAGAGAGAAAGGTCTTCCTTTGCCGTTGGTTCACCCTCCAATGGCCGCCGCGGCCAGCGCACTGCGGCCGGCGCACCACGCTGATCCGATGGCAGGAGCCAGGTGCTTCTCCTGGTCTCCCATGGGGTGCAGGGCCCAAGCACTTGGGCCATCCTCCACTGCACTCCCTGGCCACAGCAGAGAGCTGGCCTGAAAGAGGGGCAACCGGGACAGAATCCGGCGCCCCGACCGGGACTAGAACCCGGTGTGCTGGCGCCGCAGGCGGAGGATTAGTCTAGTGAGCCGCAGCGCCGGCCAAGCAAGCTCTCTCTCTCTCTCCCTCCCTATCTCTCTTGTCTAAATAAAATAAATAAATAAATAAAAATTTAAAGAAAAAACGTCATGGAGTAGAAGTTTGGTGCAGCTTAGGATGCCCACACCCCATATCAGGGTGTGGGTTTGAGTCCTGGCTCTGTGTCTGATTCCAGCTTCCCTCTAATGCACAAACTGGGAGGCAGCAGGTGATGGCTGAAGTTCTTGTGTCCCTGCCACCCATATAGGAGACCTGGAGTGAGTTCTGGGTCCTGGCTTTGGTCTGGCCCAGCGCTGTCTGTTGTGGGCATTTGGGGAGTGAACCAGTGAATGGAAATGCTCTCTCTTTGCTTTTCAAATAAAATGAAAAATAAAAAAAAAATTGGTTGAAAAGACATCCTGAGGGAATGATAGGGTTGTGGGGAATGTCAGTGGAGCTGAAGCAGGAGCACCAGGTCCAGGGAAACCAGAACTTGAGTGCAGCCAGGGGGCCTGCACACGTCTGTCTCCAAAGCCTAAAGCAGAGGGTGCAGAAGGGACCTGGCCGGCTGCCCCACTGCTGCGTCACACAGGCATGAGTGGTTGGTTTTGTTTTGTTTTCTTTAAGATTTATTTATTTATTTGAAAGTCAGAGTTACAGTGGGGGGGGGGCGGGGACACCTTCCACCTGCTGGTTCATTTCATCAGAACCACAATGGCTGTGGCTGGGCCAGGCCAAAGCCAGGAGCCAGAGGCTTCATCCAGGTTTCCCACTTAGGTTGCAGGGGCCTAAGCACTTGGGCCATCTTCCACTGCTTTCCCAGGCCATAGCAGAGAGCTGGATCAGAAGTGGAGCAGCTGGAACTTGAACTGGTCAAGCCGGAATGTTGAGTGGGTAGGGCAGTATATGTGGTGCCCGTGCCTCCATGGTGACAGCCACCAGTGGTCAGCATCTTTCCTGCCATCTGTGGCAGGGTCCACCTTTCCTGCATTCCATCCACGCAAGTGTGGATAGGAGGGGAGAACCTGCCTAGGGACCTCATGGTCCTGCCTGGGGCCCCACAAAGAACTGCCCAGCCAGATGTGACCTCACTGGGACTGCTAGAACACCAAGCCTCTGCCTGCTGGGCTGCTGTCCCTGGTGTCCCACCCTGGTGAGGCTGCCTCAAGGGGCTTAGGCCCAGGAGAGAATCTAGGACCCAATACCTGACCAAATTAGATTAGGCCACTATGGGTCAGGGAGTTCAGGTCAGCAGCGACAACGGTATTTTTGAGGAAATAGGGTTTGAGAAGGCCCCATACTATTGACCAGGTTCAAGTGGACTGAGGAGCTATTTAACTAAATCCTTGAGGATGCAGCCTTCACAGAGGAAATATTTTTTTAAAAGATGGCTAGTCATTTAATTCATTTTTTTAAGAGGCAGAATGAGAAAAAGAGAAACGAGAGAGGTCTCCTAGCTACTGACTCTCCGAATGGCTGCAGCATCCAGTGCTGGGCCAGTTGAAAGCCTGGAGCCTGGAATTCAACCTGAGTGTGCCACATGGGTGGCAGAGACCAGGTACTTGAGCCATCACCTGCTGCTTCCCAGGTGCTCATTAGCAAGAAGCTGAAATAAGAAGAGGGGCTGGGACTCAAACCCAGGCCCTCCGATGTGCAGTGTGGGCATCCCAAGTTGTGTCTTAACCCCTGCATCAAATTCCTGCTCCACATTCATCTGTTTTACTATGCAGACTTTCACTTACTGTGCTTGATTGCAGCAGGGCTTAGCAGGGCCAAAGTTGTGGTACAGCAAGTTAAGACTCTGTCTGGCATCCCATATGGGTACCTGTTTGAGACCCAACTGCTCCACTTCTAATCCAGCTCCCTGATAATCCACCTAGGAAAGCAGCAGAGGATGGCCCAAGTGATGAACCCACGTGGGAGACCCGGAAGAAGCTTTGTGCTCCTGGTTTAGGCCCCAGTTGTGTGGCCATTTTGGGTGGGAACCAGCAGATGGAAGAACTCTCTCTGTCTCTCTGTCTCTGTCTCTCCATCTCTCTCTGTAACTGCCTTCCAAATAAAAAAAATTCAAATTTTTTTTATTTTTAAAGATTTATTTATTTGGAAGGCAGAGATACAGAGAGAGAGAAGGCGAGAGATATCTTCCATCTGCTGGTTCACTTCCAAAATGGCCGCAATGGCCAGGACTGGGTTGATCCAAAGCCAGAAGCCAGGAGCTTCTTCTAGTCTCCTATGTGGGTACATGGGCCCAAGCACTTGGGTCATCTTCTGCTGCTTTCCCAGGTCATCAGCAAGGAGCTGGCTCTGAAGTGGAGCAGCTGGGACTTGAACTGGTGCCCCTATGGGATGCCGGCACTGCAGGTGAAGGCTTAACCTGCTCTGCCACAGTGCCAGCCCCCCCCCCCCACCAATCTTTAAGCAGAACTTACCTTCCCTGTGCTCTCAAGTCATCATTGCCCCACATATTTTAATTCAAAGGCAAATCTGTGTGACACACTGGTGATATCTGTCCCGAGTCTTGTGTCTCTTGTTGTCAGAGTTGCCCCATGATAATAGGATAATAACGATGTTAACACAGGAATAAACTGGCTCTGGAGGAGGTGGGAACATAACTGGCATTTTTCCGGGAGAATTTTCAGAATTTTGCCTTTTTAGGCTCGTGAATCCCGACATACACTCAGCCCCCTGTGACAGCAGAGGGGACAGGCGGGAGCCTGCGTGATGGGAGCCTGGGGGAGTATGGAGGGAAGGAAGGCAGCTGTTGGTGCGTTCACAATTTTAGAACAGCTGCAGTGGTTAGAGTAGCTCCCCCTGAATGCGATGACGCTGCGCCACTTAGGGGAACGGGAGAGAAGATTCCGTAGCCCATGACCGGGAGGAGGGGCCTCGGTGCACACAGTGGGTGGGTATTAAAGGGATTATGTGTATTAAGCAGTCTTACCATCACCCGGAAAGGCATGCGATTTGACTGCCAGGAAACGAATAATGAATTGGAACGCCATCCAGGGACGAGAGCAAGTTAAGACAATATATTCTGTGCCCAACACAGATGCTATTTCAAAATCAGTAGCACATTTGGCTTTGCAGAGTGTGATGATGAGGGAGAGGTTGCACAGGATCTCATATTGTCATTCAATTTGTCTCTTGTTAAGTCCCATAGCAGGGCTCTTCATAGTAAGGCGACCAGCCAATATCCACTGAGTGCTAACCACATGCTGATTGCTCCAGGAAACATTCTACATCCACCAGCTCAGGTAATCCTCACAACCCTATAAGGTAGGTACTCAGTATTCCCATTTTACGGATGGGCAAGTGAAGCCACAGAGACATTAAGTGGCATGCTTGAGTCTACATAGCAAGTGGATGTTAGAGCCAGGGATTTGGCCCAGCAGTAAAGATGCTGCTTGGGACACCCGTATCTTATATCAGAGTGCCTGGGTTTGAATCCCAACTTTGCTTCCAATTCCAGCTTCCTGCTAATGCACACCCTGGGAGGCAGCAGATGATGGCTGAACTGCTTGGGCACCTGCCATCCATGTGGGAGACCCAGGTTGAGTTTATGGTTCCTGACTTCAGCCTGGCTCCACCTTGGCTGTTGCAAGCATTTTGGGAGTAAACCTGTAGACAGAATATCTTTATCTGTCTCTCTGCCTTTCAAATAAGGATGAACGTAAATAATAAAAAATTTTTTTTTAAATGTTGGGGCTAAAATTTAGAACTAGGCAGATTAGCTCCAGATCCCAAATTGGTAACCAGCATTCCGTGTCACTTTATGGTAATCCATGTGCTCTCTTAACAGGGCCTGTGGATGGTATGCAAGGTTGTTCTAGCTCAATGCCTAAGAATGGGAGGAACTATGAGGAAATCCCACGTGAACGTCAGCATGACATTGCTATTAATAAATGCTTATGAATCCAGGTCAGTGGTGTCACTTTCAGGGCTTAGCAGCATCTCCACTGAGAACCGGGAGTAAGTCTGGTTTCTGGATGCTGTGTCCCAAGTACGCAACAAGTGATCCCTTCACGTGTTCATTCAATCAGTTGGTTTACTGAGCACTTACTCTGCACCGACCACATCAGGCACACTGTCCTCGCCTCTGGAAATAAACCTGAGGCTAAGCCACAGTCCCAACCCTCAAGGAGTATGCAGAATGTGAGCACCTATCTCTCAACCAGTGACCAACAGGCTGGAAGACCAACCTATGCAAAGGCCGATATCTACCTGTTGTCCACTTAGCCTTGCCCCAGAGGTGAGGGCTGTTACAATGCGCTGGAGGCCCCATGGGCTGGTCACTCACCAGCTGAATGGGCTGCCATCTCTGAAAGTCACCTGGGTCCAGAAATGTTCTCCCAAGGAAACCATAGGTTAAAATATCTGGGACCAGAGGCTGGCACTGTGGTGTAATGGGTGAGGCCTCCACCTGCAGTGCCAGCATCCAATATGAGCACTGGTTTGAGTCCCAGCACTCCACTTCAGATCCAGCTCCGCTATGGATGGGAAAGTAGTAGAGGACGGCCCAAGTCCTTGGGCCCCTGAACCCGTGTGGGAGACCAGGAAGAAGCTCCTGGGTTTGGATCAGCACAGCTCCAGCTGTTGAGGCCATTTGGGGAAGTGAACCAATGGTGGAAGACTTTTCTCTCTCTCTCTCTCACTCACTCTCTCACTCTCTCACTCTCTAACTCTGCCTTTTTAATAAAACAAAACAAAGCAAAGCAAAACAAAAACACCAGAGACTGACCAAATGGGAGATAAGAAGGCAGTATGAAATCACAGCAGGATGAAAAGATAGAATGTTTCTTAAAGGACCCTGTGCAAACTTATCAAAAGGTATAAAACCCTCAGATCACCTCTGCCAATAGCTTCTTCTTCAGAAAAACCCCTATCCCTGCACTGTGGGAGTTTTCTCCGTACTCCTTTCAATAAACATTACTTATTCTTCATTCAAGAAAAGGAAGGAAAGAAGGAAGAAGAAAGAAAAAGACAGGGAGAGAGAAAGAAGATGTTTCCCAGCCAACACTCTGGCGTTGTTATCAGGAAACTGACATGGAGTGATGTCAAAGATGATGGCCAGTGGGGGCAGGTGTCGCGATGCCACGGGTGAAGCCACTGCTTGTGACACCTGCATGCCTGGTTCAAGCATCAGCTTTCCCGCTTCTGATCTAGTTTCCTGCTAATGCACTGTGGGAGGCAGCAGGTGATGACTCAAGTGCTTGGGCCCCTGTCACCCATGTGGGAGACCAGATGGAGCTCCTGGCTCCTGGCTTCAGCCTGGCCCAGCCTTGGCTGTTGTGGCTATTTGGAGGGTGAAAGAGCAAATAGGGAGGTCTTTTTCCATCTGTTTCTCTGTCTTTCTGTCTTTGTATCTCTCTGCCTTTCAAATAAAATTAAAATAAATCAATAAAAATTAAAAATAAAAGTGTGCAGTGCATATTCATGGTTAAACTTGTAAGTGTTGGCAGTGTAACCCTGCAGTTAGGAATCGGGGCTCTGCAGCCAGATTAACTGGATCGTATCAGCTCCCCAACTTTAACCTTTCAACGCCACACATTCTTTCCCTGTGAAGCTCAAATGATCATCGCGGGCTGTGGTGGAGACGAAATGAGAAAAGTTGTACGGAGAACGGAGCCTGGCACACAGTAAGCCTTCTATAAACATTAGTGATTATTTTTATCAATATTGTTGGTAGCCATGGTTACCTCGGGAGCAGCTTGAGGGGAGAGAGAGGGAGGGAGCACACCTTTTCATTTCCATGATTTTACTTCTTGGTTTTCGGAATGAAAACAAAACAACAAAAATCACGTGTAACTTTCATCATTTAAAAAAATATCAAACAAATGAAGCATTTCTTTTGGCTGACCATAATGGCTCACCTGTGAGATACACAAAAAGTGTACCCTTTCCACTTTCTCCTGCCAAGGACTTAGAAAGATACGGGTACTTTGGAAATTTATATTCATTAAATAAAAGTTAAAAAAAAAAAAGAAAGATATGGGGACAGGGCCTGCGCTGTGGCATAGCGGGTAAAGCTGTGACTCCAGCATCCCATATGGGCGCCAGTTCGAGTTCCAGCTGCTCCACTTCTGATCTATCTGCCTGGCTGCGGAAGATGGCCCAAGTGTTGGGCCCCCTGCCACCCACATGGGAGACCTGGATGGAGCTCATGGCTCCTGGCTTCAGTAGAACCCAACCCTGGCTGTTGTGGCCATCTGGGGAGTGAACCAGTGGATGGAACAGATCTCTCTCTCTCTCTCGATCTCTCTCTCTCTCCCTCTCTGTGCCTGTCTGTCTGTCTTTCTGTCCCCTAGCTGTTTCACTTCCGATTCAGATCCCTGCTAATGTGCCTGGGAAAGCAGTGGAAGACGACCCAAGTGCTTGGGCAACTGCACCCATGTGGGAGACCTGGATGAAGCTCCTGGCTCCTGGTTTCAGCTTGGCCCAGTCCCATCCATTCCAGCCATTTGAGGAGTGAACCAGTAGATGGAAGACTTTTCTGCCTCTCCTTCTCTGTAACTCTGCCTTTAAAATAAATAAATACATAGTAGGAAAAGAAAAAAGAAGCCTGGGACCTCACGGGCCTCTGGAGACTGGTAGGTAAAGTACTCAGGTGCAGTGGGCACTGCATCAAACCTGAGACCTTTGCCTACTTCAAGGAGGCAGCTGCAAATCCAGACTGGTTGTGTGTGCAAACTCTCCATTTTTCTTTCCAATTTTTACTTACTTACTTATGTATTTACTTTACCTCAAAGGCAAAGGGACAGACAAGAGACATCTCCTAGGAACCAGTTCACTCCCCAAATGCCCACAACTGAGCTGGGCCAGGCTGAAGCCAGGATCCTGGAACTCCATCCTGGTCTGCCATGTGGGGGCAGGGACCTAACTACTTGAACCATAATGATTTGGTGCATTAGCAGGAAGTTGGATTTGGAAGCAGAGTCAGGATTCGAACCCAGGTACTCCAATATGAAATGTGAACACCCGAAGTGGATAAATGCCCACTCAACTTCTCTATTTTTAAATGCTGGCCACTCTATGTGGGGCAAAACAAACGTTAGTGGGTCAGAATCTGCCTGCAGACCCCTCCCCGGTCATAGCTTGTGACCTGTAATAGAACCCTATCGACAGCACACAAAAACCACTTCTCCATTTGCGCAGTATTAAATCTGCATGCTAATCTTCACTGAAATCAACAAGTACCCAATGACAGCCCACTGCCCAAAGTTCAGCCCTTTCATCTCTGAAAAACACCGTGTGGGCCATGCAAGGTGAGGGAACTTCACTGTGAGAACTGTACTCTCGTTTCCTGGCGGGGGTGTGGTTACACTCACAACTTTGGTGTAGCGCTAACCGTCGGAGGGTTTTGCACTGGGTTTCCTGTTTCCTTTTCTTAATAAAGAAAGGAAAAGTGGGCCCCCGCAGCAATCATCGCTGAGTTCCATAGGAAGACACCACGGGGGTTCCGATGAGGCCACAAGCGAAAACAAAACGTGACGCCGTACCTGGCAATCCCTGTGGGCCCTGCAGTTGCTCCGGGTTGTTTTGATCCCCTCTTGCGGCAATTTTTCCGCCTTGTGCTCATTAGATGGGTGGCCATGCCCTCTGTTTTTTGGCTTGCTGGAACCACTGCCACAAACGGTTTAGATAGTGATGGTTACAGCAGCCACCTGGGCCAGGGATGGCGGGCAGTGCCTCCCACGTCTCTAGCCCAAACAGAAGCTCTCCAGGAATTATTCCCATGTTACCGATGAGGAAATGGAGGCTTGGAGAACCTACGATAACTGTCCCAAGTCACCCATAAGTGATGGAGCTGGGGTTTCATCCATTCTTTCCCTCATTGAATAAATTATCAGGCACCACTCACTGGGGCAAGGCACAACAACAGGATTCACAGGTGAAGGCTGCACTCAACATGAATCCCACTTGCTGAAGAGGACCTCTGAGTAGAGAGCATATTTACCTTCAGTTTTCTTTCATTTGGTCAGCTTGGACTCAGCACCTACTGCGTGAGGTTTAAACCGAGCACTGTGGAGGACGCAAGGCAGTGTGAGACGCTCACTGAACTTCCAGGTGTGGGGAGCAATTCGGACTAGACTGAGTTACTGGAATTAAGACTTATTCTATGCATCTGCTCTCCCACAATATGGCGCTGGGAGAGAAGTAAACAGCTTCTACCCAGCTGCCTCTCACCAACTTGACAAGCTGCAGGAGCTGCTCCTGATTGGAGGAGAGCGGCGTGCTCGGCGTGTGGGCAGCCGAGTTGGGATTGGTGGAGAGGACTATATAGGAGGAGAGAGACGGCATAGTGGTGTGGGTTGGTTGGAGAGTGCGTTGGAGAGTTTGCGGGGAAGTTCGTTACTTCGTTCTTTCTCATTTCTCTCTACTCATTCTTGCTTTGGGAGTTTGCTGTTTACTTATTCTTACTTTACTATAGAAAGGACTTGTAAAAAAAGGGAACAACAAGCGCCCGGTCCGGTGCGGCTCCTCCGCGTGCGGAGGAGCAGCACCAGGGGCTTGCGACTCATTGGGGAGACAGAGCCTGGGCAACAAACTGTTGAATAATACAAGAGGATGAACAGCTATGGGAAAAAGGCGGGAGGGAGGACAGGTTCCTCCAGGCTGGAGTGACCACGCAGCACAACAGGGGTCTTGGAGCGATGACCTGCTGGGTGGGTGGGCAGTAGAAAGGGGGCTCAGCAGAAACAGGAATTGAGAAGAAGGAAAGAACTTGGAGAGGCAGCATGATTTGCTGCAGGGTCCTCAGTGTCATCAGACCCACGGTCTCTGGCGTGAACCCAGACTCCGCACCTCTCCACCTGGATGGCCCGGAGCAATGTTTTTACTTTTGTTTTTTTACTTATATCAAGTCTCAGCTTGCTAATCCAAGATGTGGCCATAATGAACGAGATGGTATAGGCAAAGGAGCAGGTGGCACGGGAGCCCTGGCAACAGCCTCCATGACTACGAGCATCCCGTCCCTTTGTGGGGTCCCCCCTGCAGCTGTTCCACCTGAGGAGTGGAGAGAGACGCGGCGCCACGCAGCAACCATCACGTAAGAGACTGAGGGAGGACTGGAAACTCTGCAGCCGTGAACTCAGGGCAGCATGTGTCAGCCCCAGGATCAGATAACACAAGCCAACCACAAATGTGCCGCTCAGGTTTTCAAAGTTCAGCAGCAGCAGGCGGGACTCAGGCTAGCTCGCTTTGTGTGATGGAGGGAGTCCAACCACATCTTTTTTTCTCATCAGACTTCACAGGAAATGCACTCTCTTGTTCGGATTTGAGATAAGGTGCCCTTCACCCTGGCTCTCCCTGGCACCACCAAGTCATTTGTGAAGGTGCTCACTTTCTATCCTAGGCCTGTATCGTCATCAGCTTCTATTAAGTGCTGCCTTTACGTTAGAAGTTGAATAGAAGTGAAGCCTATGAAGACACACTCTGTCGTCACACTGAGATGACAATCTAAGAAAAGAAGGTGAGAGTCTCCACGAGGAGCCAGCCAGAGGAGCTGGGTTTGTGAAAGCCTGCTTATTTTGCCCTCAGTAACCCCTGACAGTGCCGTTGCTCCATACTTATTTTGGGTTTCATGACTTTCAACCTAACCTCTGCGTCCAGCGGAGAGATCTATACTGAGGTGCTGACATGATTTCTCAGCAGCTGTTGCAAATTAAAAGCTTTGGCTGCCTTCCCAAGTTGACCCATGAAAATTTTCAAGAATATTGGCTTTAAGGAGTTTCCCAAAGACTCCTTCATCATTTTAAGAATTATTTATTTCTGTATGTTATGTATTTGAAAGGCATGGAGAGAGAGAGAGAAAGCAAGAGCGAGAGTGAAAAGAGAGAGAGAGAGGGAGGGAGGGAAAGAGGGAGAGAGAGAGAGAAATATCTCCCATCAGCTGGTTTACTTTCCAAATACCCGAAACAGCTAGGGTTGAGCCAGGCTGAAGCCAGGAGCCAACAATTCAATCCAGGTCTCCTATGTTGGTGGCAGGGACTCAACTATTCAAAGCCATCACTTGCCACCTGGAACTGGAATTGGAAGCAGAGTTGGGTCTTTTCAAAGCCTGGCGCTCTGATACGGGATGTGGGATGTCCCAAGCAGTGCCCTCCTCATTTGCCCGATGCCCACTCCCCTAATTCCCATCCTAAGAGTGCCTCTTCCTGGATCTCTGGGAAGGACTAACACCAGAATTGATGATAGAAGGAGGAGTACCAACAGCAGTCTAGTACGTCCCAGCATGTAGCCAGTGTTCAACATTCATCTCAGTATCCGGAGAAAGGAGAATCAATAGAATTTATCACCATCGCCGGTGCCGCGGCTCACTAGGCTAATCCTCCACCTTGCGGTGCTGGCACCGCGGGTTCTAGTCCCAGTTGGGGCGCCGGATTCTGTCCCGGTTGCCCCTCTTCCAGGCCAGCTCTCTGCTGTGGCCAGGGAGTGCAGTGGAGGATGG